ATTCAATTAATATAAACTTTTTCGTAGTTATTTTATGTGTATAAAGGTGAAAATCTACTTTTCATGAATTATTTTATGAAAAATGGATAATTTCGAGCGATGATATATGCTTAGACATTTGCAAACAAGACTATTCTCGAATTGAAATCAATCTTTCACTTTTTGAATTGTATCGAAATTATTGATTCTGATATTCGATGAGAAACTACCTATTCCTATTGTTAAGATCTCACCTAGATGATGGAAAACCATAACAAAACCGTCATGTTTCTCTTTTTCTATTAATAAGTAATTATTTTAAAACGGTCGTGAAATGTTTTTCGACTGACTATGTGTTCTAACAAAGTTTTTGTACTAGAATTGTATTATTCTATGATGCTCATATCAAAAATACAAAAAAATCATTTTTTTTTATCTTACACATTACAAATAAGTCAAAAATTCTCAAGAAAAATGCTATTGTCATATCCGTAATCAAGCAATTTTTAAAAACTAATCCTACAGAAAGAATAATGAAAAAAATGTTTAATTTTTAGTTTATTGAAGACTTTATGCAATAATCAGTAATCTACTCAATCTAATGTTTTATTACTCTAAATAGATAATTTCTATCAAAGAGTTTAAAATGATTCGAAAGAAGGTAAACGATTAATTAATTAATTTGAACTTACAACATCGATAATGTATTTTCTGGAAATATCTTTTCATTTGTTGTTAATGGTTTAGCATGAATTTTTTCAGCATCATAATAGAATGTATCTGGAAGTCTTGGTGGACTATCACGTTCTGGTTTTTCAATAATATCTTGATTTTCATTATCATTAACTGTTGTTGTTTGTTCTTGTTGTGTATCTTGTTGATCAATTTGTATTGTTTGTTCATCTCCTCCTCTTTCTCCTTCTTCCTCGCCTTCCATGTTTTCCTGAGTTGATTCTGACGGTGGTGGTGGCATTTGAATTGAATCGAGTGCTATTGAAGTAGCTAATCAAAATAATAGATTTGAATATTTTTTTAATTGTTTTAAAATCAATAACAAAACCATTTACTTACGAAGCTCGTTTTCAGAATTTAAAACTTCTTGTGTTTGTGCATCCGGTGTGACTATAAACAATTATTATTTAACAATGAAGTATTCCTGTTGTGTCTTTTTTATTTATTTACCTTGAGTATCAACAGATCCTGCATCCATAGCTGATAAAGGTTGACGAGCTAAATCATGAATAGAAAAATCACAAAATTTTAATAAATAAAATAAAATAAAATAATTATTCTTATTAATACTTGATGCAGATTCATCTGTTGGGTTTTCTCTTGGTGATCCTTCTCTTGACATAGTTTAATCTAAAAAAAACTAATGAAATGTTTTATACCATTTTAATGGTAAGTTAAAATTTGTTGCTAAGCATTATATTTCTAAGCGACAATAAATAACAGATGTCGTTCGAAAAAAAAATAATTAAATGTTCATTGGCTGTTCCTATTTTGGGAAAGAAGAACGATCGACGATTGATCGAATAATACTAAAATAAACAAATATCTGACCTCATCAGAAAACGTATATAATTTTTTTTTTTCTTGACTATTTAATAAAAAAAAAGAAATGTCAAGTACAATTGATGTAAAACCAAAAATTTCTGATACATTATTAAATGATGTATCACAACAACAACAACAACAACCATTAAGTGTTCGAGAAAAAATTGTGAATTTATTTCAAGACTTAGAAATAACACGAGATGAACAACGACGAATTAATGCAGAACTTGAAAAAGAAATTCAATCTCGAATTGAAGCTGAAGCTGAAGCAGCTCATCTACGTCGACAAGTACAATTAGTTGAAGTTAATCTTGATAATGCAACAGCTCGTGTTAATCATGTAACAACACAATTAATTGAAGTTATAAAAGTATCTGAAGCAGCACGACAGTATGAATTTTATTTTTTTATTTATTAAAATTTTATTATTTATTAATTTTAGTGTTTGTGCAAGTCTAGAAAATAAATTAACAGCTGTTAAAGACAAAGAAATTGATCTTGATGATGAATTAAGAAAAGCAAAAGAATGTAGTATTGAAACTGACAAACGTTTTCAAGAAGTAAAATTAATTTATTTTTTTTTTATTGTGTTTTTTCTTTCGTTGTATGACATGATGAATTCTTATATCGAGAAAATTCCAATGTAATGACTATAGAAAAACAAAATCTTTCATGGGAATTCAATTCAGTCTCTTGAGATATGATCACTAGAGATTTATTTTAATGTAACAAAAATATAGAAATGATATGAATTACTACGAATTAGGTCGGACTCTATCAGGAAATCTAATTTAATATATATAGTTTTGCATTACACTGTTCCAGGAAATTCATTTCCATGTTGTATGTTTTTCTGATAAAAATGAATTTCCTGTCTTAGCCTTAGCCGGAAAACATTGATATGATTTCTATATTCTTGTCGTATTAAAAACAATCTACGAGCTCGAGATGTGCAGAATCAAATTCAATCCCGGTCACCGGAACCAAAATTTGGAAGTTTATCACGTCTGCAGCCATTAGAAAAGAAGCTACTAGGACTAAATCATATTTACTGAAACTATGATCGGTATCAAAAAAAAAACTGTGTGCTGCACATTTCTATTCTCTTCTAAATTCAATGTCAAACTAGAAATTGTATTTCTTCAATTGAATGTGTAACAATTTGAATTTGCTTAGTGAAAATTTGTTTTCTATTTTCGTGTAATAGACTGCAAATAAATTAAATGAATTACAAGAACGATTTGAACTTGCTGAACGTCGATCAACTATTGCAGATCAGTAAGTTTGAAATATATGAATGATAATTTTCTAGATTAAAAATTATAGACGAATAGCATCACTTGAAAAAGATATTCGACATGCATATGTAGAAATGAAAACATTACTTCAAGCTGAAGAAAAAGTAAAAATTATTTGATATTAATTTGTTTTGTTTAGTTTTCTTAATTTTTTTCCAGGCGCATGCAACGGAAGAAAAATATCAAAAAACTCTTGAAGATTTACAATCTCGTCTTAAATCTGTATGAATTTAAATTCTAAAATAATGACTTTCTTTTCTTTTTTATTCATGTTCGTTTATTTAGGCTCAACAGCGAACAGATGAAGCTGAAACTGATGTTGGTAAATTACAAATTAAAGTTGATAAACTTAAAGGTATTTTACTATTATTAGTTTTTCAATAAGTAAATTTTTAATCTTTTTATTTGTAGAAAAATTGGCTGATGAACGCAATAAATGTCATCAATTACAAAAAATGATGGCTGATTCATCTGTATCATAAACAAGCAAAACATTTTTTTGTTTTACTGCGTTTTTTTCTTTTTTGCTGTGCAATATATCTCATTTCATTTCATTATTTTCTACTATTATTGTTTGTCTTAAATGCAGACAAGACTTGTTTTTTTTTCCCTTACACTTTTGTTCATTTTTTTTTTGCTTTGTGTGCTGTGGATATGTCGTGCAATTTGCTCTCTTTTGTTTTTGCTGTTATCATTATTATTACTAGTACTATTACTATCATTAATACTGCTTTTGTCTTTGTTTGACTTACTCGCCAAGCATCACACCCGTTTTGTTTTTTGTTTTCTTATATTCACTCAGTGTGTGATTGTTCATAGCTATATTGCAAACAGATAAATAAAGAGAATTATCATTCTTTTCGAATGCATACAGTAGTTAAAAATAACCACTGATTATATATGAATAGAATTTCTATATCCTAGATCGGAAGTGTCTAAAAACAAATTATTATATTTTATTATAAGAAAAAATATAATTATGATCGATAGAGAAATATTATTATTGGTCATTAGATTAAAAAAAAACCCTGGAGTATTTCTTTTTCGTAGACACAACATAGAGAATTGCGTATGCATATCATTTTGAAGTAGAATTTTGCGTGAGTATAACTTTTCGTACGCATGCTAGACTCTACCTATAACATTCGAATTCGTACTTGGTTCTTATCAATGTTTTAAAATGTTTGTGACTTATTTAACTCTCTAACCAGGATAATGCTAAATACAAGTAATTTATGAAAAAAGTAAACAATAAAAGTAAATCTCAAATATTTAGTGCATAAAACAATGAACAAAGATAACATGAGTCATGAACGGTAGTTTGTCGAGTCTGATCATTTTTGTATCCAAGCAGAATGTCTAGACCAACATTGCACGAATAGCTTGAGACCTATAGAACAAAACAGAAGAGGAATGGCTTGAACATCATGCTGACTCGCGAAAAATGAATACATCGGTGTTTTGTCATCGTCTCACTTGGCTGTAATCATTAGTTTACAAACAAATATGTACCGTATTCTTTCTTTTGATTTTGCAAAAAATATAAAATAATAATTGTCAAACGATCAAAAATGCACCTAGAGTATCATATATCAACAGCTGTACTTGAATTTTTTCAAAATTCAACTTCTATAGTACTGTACGAGTGTTAGTTTTCATGCCTGTACCCAGAGCTTGTCAGGTCGGCTCTGGCAAACTCTACCTGTGACATATAGTTATGAGTGTCTTACATATTAATATTCAGATACCCGACTTGTGGATTGTAGTACTCTATTATAAACAATGGGGATCAATGGTCTTGATCTTAGTAAAAAGGAAGCAATTGAAGAAACGGACATCAGTAAATTTAGAAGTAAAATTTTTTAAAAATATATTCAAATTCTAGTATGATTAATCTATATTTTTTTTGCAAAGAATCAGAACTGAGAGACTTTCTACTATTCAGAACTAAAATAAATCTAAGTAAAAATCTAAATTATAGTTGACAAAAAATTTTTGTAAGTATTCGAAATCACGAGGATCATTCTTTATAAAATAATTGATCAAATAATAATAAAACTTTGTTAGATAATATAGTTCTAATTTAATAAAAAAAAAACATAAGAGAATTTATTCAGTTGTATCGTTCGACTATTATTATTCATAGAAAAATAAAATTTCTGCTTTTTATAGAACATCAAAAAAGAGAGGAAAAACACTTTTTGTTGATTGTTTTGTTGCATTTTGTTTGATTTTATCATCAATAGATTTCGTTGATGAATTATTTTGATGATTATGATTTCGTGGAGCTGGAGCAGATGCTGGTACAATCATAGTACGATGCATTGATGTAGATGTTGGTGAACGAACCAAGCCAACACTTGAACGCATATTTACTAATGAAGAATTTGGTGTATTATGATTTCTAGCAGAACGATGAAGAAGATATTGATTTGATTGATGAATTAATGGAGATGTTGGACGTTGTAAAGCAGAAGTTAAATGACGAATACAAATATTTAATAATTGATCAACACTATCAAATAAATTCTGAGCATTGGGAAATTTTCGTTGTGATAAAAGAAAAAATGCTTCAATAAATGCTGCAAATGGTAATCCTAGAAGATATAAACATTTGATATAAATAATACAGAAGTATCATTTAAAAGAAAACAATTCTTTTCAACATTCTATTATTAGATTGCAATCAATATTTTCTTTCTTTTTTCAATGATACGTATTAACCTTTTATCCCCTGTTGGGTTATTCATAGTGAGTAATATGAAAAATGATTATATTTACAATGTATATTTATAAATAGCACACTCTTCATGCTACAACCTTTATTACAACGCATAATCGGTCGAAAAGTATTTCATAAGTATTTTAAAATAATTTCTTATCAATAAAAGATAGAAATCTGCAACTTTTTCTATGATCGTTCATCTAGGTGAGACAATCTTAACCCTAGAAATGAGTAATTATGAGTCGAGATCAGAATATCTAAAAGTAGCCGCTTTTGCAAATACCTAAATATATTTCATCCTTAGAAATGGCTCGTTTCTTAAAAGAAAAACTCATGATAAGTAGGTTTATAGCTCTATATAGATAAATAAATGTAAAAAAAGCATCAGATCATATTGGATTTTTAATCCATTCAAGATAAATAGGTAATTTATGATCCATTTAGCATCTTCACAATAAAATGACATTACTCAAATTTAATCATGCTAGGCTTGCAGTGAACACGAATCCCAGTGTGAAGTTCAGGTCGCATCGAGTATGATGTAGTTTTTCAAACAATTCTTGAAGCATATTAATGGTTATGGAAGTGCTCATGCGTGCCTTTAAGTGTGATTTGCATATTTTCGAACATCACAAACCATTTTTTTTTCACAAATTCTACGGCTTTTCAGTTTTTGGATCATTTATTTCATTATCTGTTAGAGTCCTTTGTGTCCAAAATTTTTGGACCTGGAGATAGGATCAACCCAAGAGCTTCTATTGTCTGTAGGCTTATTATAGCCAACTATGAGAGGCTTTCTTTTGGTTTATTTAATTAACTGAAGATGACTGCATTCAAGATCGAACACCATTGTTCGGGTTCGGTGCATGTCTAAACCATATTGATGTTATAATTAGAACCTGTATAAGCTATTCCAATGGTTTACTCAACGTCAAACCTACTAATTTAGTACCAACAAGCAGTTTAAAGTCATTAAGGTTGATTACTTTTACCTGTTAAAGTTGTTCTTGCAACAAATTGTTGCCATTTTCTAAGTATTTGATAATAAAGTATATCAATTGATGGTGCTGTTATTGTTTCATTAATAATTCCACATATACTATATAATAATTAAAAATAAATATCTATATGTTTATTACAAATATATTCAATTTACTTAGCAAAACTACGAAATTGTCCACCAGTCATTGTTTTATATCCTAACGTAACAACAAGATGAATATAAATATAAGCTATATTATCAACTAAAAATAATTGTCGATATTTTGATTTGTGATGATCCGATGGAAAAATAAGTTTTAATGTATTTATTGATTTAATCATAGCTGCATCTATGGTTGTTCCCGAACGATTTAATGGAGATTTAATCGAAGAATGTCTTGTAGCTGTTGATGGATGATTATCACTTACTGTTGTTGTTGGTGGTGAAGCACTTTCATCATCATCTTCATCATCAGTAGAATAACGATATTGTTTGGATTTTTTAATAATTTTTCTATAGGATTTGATCGGTTCATGATGATGATTATGATTAATAAATGTATATGCTGTTAAATCTTCATGTGATTGAGATAAAACAATTGGACGTGTTGGAGTAGCGTTATGAAGTTTCTGTTGTTCAAATTGTTGTTGTCCGTGTTGGTGACGAACAAATTCTTTTGCTATACTGTCTAATGGTCGTGAAAAAAATGGATTTAATTTCATATCAAAACGAGTTTTTCGTGCACTCTTTATTTTTTCATTTCGTTCTTCAACACGACGTTGTGCTACTTTTTCAACACGTTGAGCCATGATTTCATCATTAGCTTGAATTTGAGCATGACGTGTACTAAATTAGAGTTGATTAATCTTTAGAAACAGAAAATAAATTGATTTTCTTACATTGTATCTAACTTTTTTTTAGGTAATGCCATTTTGAGAGTTTCAAGAACTAAAGGTTTTTTAATTTCTTCATCGATTGGACTTGGTTGATATACAATTCTTCCTATAAATATTTCATTTAGAAGCTCAGGTAAATGATCGACAATTAGTTCCGATACGCAAACTCCGGGAAATGGTAAGAACTTCGACGATATTGATCGGAAACGATCAGAATCGAGAAAAGCCAGGCGCTGGGCTCGATCAAGATATTCCTACTTTCAAGTTCATACCGTCTTCCGGAACTTCCGTCGAAATTAGTGATCTGGAAGTTAAAATGATAGGTTTTGTAATTTTACCTGCTTCATTTTTATCGAAGTCAATTCTAAGTGAAGGATTTGAATTGACTTCAAGTAAAATTGGTTTTAAGTGATCATTAAGTATTACATCAAAACCAATAATCTATTTAAAAAGAAACACATGTATATCAAATCTGATTTTATTTTACCTGAAAACAAGATAGATTTTGTTTTTTTCCTAATGGTAATTCAAATTCATATGTAACACGAAGTTCAGGTAAAATAGCTAATATTGTTTTATTAATCATTTCTACTATTAAACTTTTTGTTCGTTCGACTTTCTCTTTACTAAACATCTCACATAGTTGTTTCCAAACAAGACTTAATTTACGTTTACTACCATCCATTTGTTTATCATCGACAGGATGTTTGTAACTAGCACTTCGTTTATTTAAAGAATAATTTGTTAAATGCATAAATGTTTCATGAAGATTTTCACTTGATGGAGCTTTATAATCAACTGTAGCAAAACGAGCAAGTCCTTCATCATATAGATAAATTTCTAACGGATATAAATTAAGTATAAGAACATAAATACGTAAATCAAATTTAAGACCATTTATTAATAATGGTTTATCAATATATTCTAAAAATTAATAATAAAATATTTTTTAAAAATTGAATTCATTTTGTTTTAAATAATAAAACCTTGAATAACATGTGGACGATTAGTGGTCATAATATGAGATGGATCTCGAAGTAAATAAATACCTTCACCTTGTGAACCATCTAAAAACAAAAGAAGTAACATTTATAGAAAAGCGGAACTTTCTTTTTTTTTTTGAAAGAGTATACCTGATGGTTTAACAATAAATGTCGTTAATGAACGATTATGTTTTTTATCTAATTGATGTATATAACGTACATCATCTTTAAATTGTTGACTTTGTTCAGGAAGAAACCATGTTTTAGGATAAAAATCATAATCATTTGGAAATAATAATCTCATATTATTTAAGAGACGAGTTAAATGAACTTTACGTAATAGATCACTCATACCTATGCTTCGTAAAAAAAAAAGACTTTATATTAATAATTATATTAGGTAATTTTTTTTGAAATGTAACATACCAGGAAATTTATTAATACGTCCGGAACTAAATGTAAAATTTGTATTACCTTCATGAAATGATGATGAATGCCAATAAATATCGGAATCAAGAGTTGTACTATGTGAACACTACAAACATAATAAAAATTATGTCAATACTTTCGACACCTGAATCAATAGATTTCCGATGAGTATTCACTGAAATGATGTCGTGTCAAACTGAAAAAATCCATTTAATAGATTTCTACTTTTAAGTTCCTAAAATTTTTCGGTTGACATGGAAACAAGATCAATTCTTTTCAATATACTTACTTCTTTCCATCCAAGTTCTCGTAAACATAAACGAACAACTTGAAGATTTGATCGTGCTTTACTTGTATCTACTGTTATTAAACTTTTAACTCCATTATTTTCTTCGGCTTTTGCAACTGATGCTGATACTTTTATTGGAGTTGTTAATGTTGTTAAATCACTATTTGGAGTTACTTGATTTGGTGATGCTGATGATAATAACATTGATGGTGAATTTGGTAAAGCATTTGTTTGTTTCGCACGCCTTGGACTTGATTTTGTTTTTCTACGACGAGGAGATTTAGGTTTTTTCTTTGATTTTGATTCCACTAAGACAGCTTGACTTTCTTGATCAGCAAAATTTTTTATATTATCTAATAGTTCTTGATCATTATCTTCACTCATAATAATAATATTATTATCTTCTTCTTCATCTTCTGATGTTAAAACAAATGTATTTGTATATTTTAATGTTTGATCCATATCTTCTTGATAAATTTTTTCAATATAATTTTGATATTCATCATCAAATTCTTTTGTTGTTATATTAGGTATTGAAACAGCTGGATTTATTTGAGTATCGTGTTTTATATTTGTATCAGTCATGGATCTTGTTTGAAAATCATTTAATGAAGTTGTTTGAAAATTTAATGAATTATGCAATGATGTATGGCATGTAACCCATTTAACACGTTGACGACGTGGCAAACTTGATTGATTTTGATTAAGTTGATTTATTATTTCAGGTGTTACATCAAATTGTGTTTGTGATAAGAAATCATCTGATGGAAAATTTGCTTGACTATTTGAAAAAAATTTATTTAAATTTTGTACATCGTGTTCCGTGTGTAATGTTTTGCTCAATAATGTATTCGTTCTTTTAATATGATTATTTTTCGATGTTATTAATGGATCAGATGTTGGAAGAGTTTTTAAACTGTCACTTGTGGAATCCATAATAGGCGTGAGATTTTTTTTTTTTAAATCAGAAAGAAAAAAGAAAACACTTTTAAGATATCTTTTAAAACGAAATTTACCTTGTTAATATTAGGTAATGAGAAGTAAACGTAAAAAAAAGAAAGTTTTTTTTTTATTAAAAGTCATACGTTTCACTTGAGGGTCTTGATAATTCAAACAACTAGTTGTGTAAATAGACGAAATATTTTTCTTCGCATCACTTGCAGTTAGTATTATTTGGAGAAATGATGAAATGAAAAGCAATGTGCTTTTTATTATTGTTGTGTTCTGTGAATTGATGTGAGATCAATTTTTCTTTCTAATGGCAAAAACAATCGATGCAGAAGCATCTTAGCAACTACTGTTCAGCAAAAGTCGATCATAACAACAAAAGAAGAATCTATGGCATGAAAAACAACATAAAATAAAATAAAACTGATTCGATTAAACTTTGTCTTTTGTTACTTTTTATCTCTAATCAATGATTTGTCATGTTTTTTCTTTCGGAATAAAATAAAAGTTTTTCATTGAGGCAAAAAAAAGGCAAAATTTGAAAAATCTATCAAATATTCAGTATGTATTTTTAGTTGATATCGTATCAAATCATTATAATTTCATTGTACATATATTGACTACATCTTGCAATCATTCATCAATCTACGATTATTAGTAATTATTGTGAGATAATAACGACCTGTTTTTTTTTTGATGGCTTATTTTTCGAAGACACTTGCTGTCGAAAATATTCGATGCGTAGAAAAATAGCTGAACAAAATCGATGGGTGAATTTTTATTAGGATTTTTCTTTTGCACATGGTTTTTAACCGTGTATGATAAGCAATAACAATTATAATAAGAATGTTGAATAAAATATTTATCATTTCTTCCATATAGTCTCTGATTGAGAAGAACAACTAATCGATAAAGAGTGTTTTTTTTAATGTATTGATGTAGTTTTCGAATGAATATCAAGTAAATTCGATGTGTTTTCATCTAAGATTAAAAAGGAGAATGTTCTCTTATCTTTCAATTTTTTTCCACTTAAATCAATATGATAGACTGATCAATATGCTGCTATTTTCCCGGCGAGTTAAAAAAAAAGGGCTCACGCCTATATTATACATTTGTATTGAATTCACATGATAGAAATCGAACTGTAAATGTACTGATGATATTATTATTAGAAAAGTACGAAGTCAATTATTGTTGAAATGAAAAGCAGCTGATATTTACTCCCATTTCCTTGAAAATTTGCTATTAAAAGGGACCGATTCTCTGCCATTTCAAATCATTTTTCGTTTAATCGTTTTATTATTTTTTTATTTATCACCCGAGAATAGCCTCTCAAATATTCTTATCCAAAGTGGACTCGTCTGCTCGTCGATTATTACTTATTGGTTACGGTAGTGTATCACAATGTACATTGCCACTTTTAATCGATTATTTTCTATTAAAAAACCAAATCAATTCTATAACAATTATCGATGTAATCGATCAACGGGTGAGAATTGAACCATATCATAAAAGGTATAAACAAATTGTTTATCAACAAGAAGAAGTAACTGAAAAAAATTATGAAAAAATTTTAAGCAAATATTTATCAGAAGGTGATATACTTCTTGATCTTGCTGTTAATCTTGAAACAAGATGTTTATTAAAATGGTGTCATGATCATAAAGTATGCTTTGTTAATACATCTGTTGAATTATGGGAACCATTTGGTGAGGCATATAAAAATGATCCACGTTTATTAACATTGTATCATCGACAAATGCAATTAATTGAAATGCAAAATGATACGCAGTGGAATAGAAATGGTCCCACGGCTATACTTGATCATGGTTGTAATCCAGGACTTGTTTCACATTTTGTTAAACGTGCACTTATTGATATGGCACAATATGTACTTGGTGAAAAGAAAAATTTAATTTCCATTGATGAACGATCTAAATTACAGGATGCATTAGAAATAAGAAATTATCCTCAATTAGCTTATTTATTAGATATAAAAACAATTCATATATCAGAACGTGATACACAATTAACAAAAGATCCAAAAAAAGTTAATGAATTTGTTAATACATGGTCTATTGATGGTCTTTGTGAAGAAGGTATTGCACCAGCTGAAATGGGATGGGGAACACATGAAAAAATAATACCCAAGGGAACATTTTTTCATAATGAAAAAGAAGGTCCATGTAATCAAATTTGTTTAGCTGCAAAAGGAATGAATACTTGGGTAAATCATCTTCTTTTATTTTTCTTTTTAATTTATTTAATTAAAATAAATATTGTTATTTAGGTTCGTTCATGGGTACCAAGTGGTGAAATCATTGGTATGGTTATAAGACATGGTGAAGCATATGGTATTTCAAAATATTTAACAGTTTATAATAATGATGAAAATAATAATGATGATAATAATAAAACAGCTGTATATCGTCCAACTGTTCATTATGCATATTTACCATCGGATTCCACAATAAATTCTTTAGTTGAATTTCGTATGCATAATTATAAATTACAATCAAAACTTCGTATATTAAATAATGAAATAACTGAAGGTGCTGATGAAGTTGGTGTTCTTTTACTTGGTGGTCGTTATGTACAAGCTTGGTGGGCTGGTAGTGTACTTGATATTCATGAAGCAAGAAAATTAGTACCAGGACAAAGTGCAACAACATTACAAGTAGCTATAAGTGTTGTTGCAGCTATTAATTATTGTATTAAACATCCGAATGAAGGAATATGTTTACCAGATGATATTGATGTTGATGAAGTTCTTGATATTTGTATGCCATATTTGGGACAATGGGTTTCGAAATCAGCTGATTGGCCATCAAAAAACGATAAAATTAGAGAAGATTGGCAATTCACATCGTTCTTAGTTGTGGATTAACAAAAAGACTCTTGTTTATTTATTCTATATTTTCCTTTTACAGGAATAAAAAAAAAGTAATTTCTTTTTTGTTTATTGTTGGTGAGGGATTTTTCTTTAAAGAAAATAATAAATAATATACGGATATCTATCGATAATTATCAAGAAATTTTATGAGAATATCGATTCAATACTTGAATATTCAGAAAATCATATACTTGACAAAATGTTTTTTTTTTAAACTTTTTGCGTAAAATCATTCATTATATCAAAATAATTCTTCAGTCTCGTTCTATGTCAAGAGTTATCTCCCTAGATAATATCTGGCATTCTCTGTGTACGTGGTCAACTAAAAGATTAATATTTCAGTCATTGATTTCCTATGCTTTGAAGATAGTTATTTATTCTTAGGTTGAATCGTAGTCGAAATGCTCGATCTGGGTAGACTAATACACAGTACTCAAGATCGGGTATTAGTATAAACAAAACATCATTTCCAAATCTTAAGAACGTATTATTTATTGATGTCATGATTGCTATCTATTTATAGTTCTTTCGATTTGCATATTTATTAAATAAGATAAACATCTTAAGAATGCCCAATTGGTGTCTTTAATGAGTAGAAATATCAGGAGATCAGAATCATTAACTACAAGTAAGTTGATTATGGAAATTTCAGCATCAAAACCAATCATACTTTAAAAAGACATTTATTATGAAACTCAAAAAAAAAAAAGGTTCTACAGCTGTACACAATGGTAAAGAGCTCCTTCGTATAAACGAGAATAATCATCAATACCAAATTCAAAAGATATTGAATCCATTTCAGGCGTTAACAATTTGAAATTTTAGCACACATTTTTTTGGCATTTTTTTCTCAAGATTTTAATATAGTTTCTCAAGTTATCTCTAAACATATTCTTCGAACGATGTTTTTGTAATGAAACTTAGCTATAAAAAGTCAAAAACCGCTAATAAAAATTGATATACGTCAAAATATCAAGTACCAGTAGTATCAATATTGATCCGCATTCTCTTTTTTTGATTTTACTCGTCACATAGGTAGAAAAAAAAATTGCATGCTTTTTTAAAAATACATTATTTTATACTTTATGAAATCGTTTATTCGATATGATATTACACGACAATAAATACAGATTTGTATTCTAAGATGTTGATCATTAGAACCTCAGATCCAAATGGCTCAGTAGAACAATCTACATCAAATAATATAACCAATATTTAAAACTAATTATCATCCAACTTCGACCTATACAAAGTCATATTTATAGTGTTTTGCTATTCAGTCAAAAAGATCGAATTCTCTTAAGAATCAAACAATACTTTTCAAAAAGTATGCACAATTTTTTTAAAAGTATATTTCATAGAAAAAATTTTTCAACAAAACCGCAATTTTAATGAACCGTGAATGTCGGACCCGTGGATCCATCTATGCATACCAATAAGAACAGAGACAGCTGTATTCCGACGTAAAGTTTTTTGTAATTTGAACCAGTCTTTTTTTAGTTCTTACCGTGATGTTATTCATGCACTGTGAGTTTGAATCGTGTGTATAGATTCATACACAGTTTAGCGTCTGCGTTTCATTGAAACCGCAATCAACCGCATGTTTTTTTTTTCAAAAACATTGTCCGTCGTATGGTAAGTACAATAAAAAACACATTTTGCGAAAATATTGAGACTATCGAGATTTTGATACTTTGGACATATTTCAATTTTTTTAAGGTTTACTACAGAACCATCGTTTGAATACGTTAAAAATAATATTTTTACAATTAAATCGATGAGTTATAAGCAAACATAACAAAAGAAAATTTTTTGTTAACAGTTTGAATGGATAGCACCTTAAGAAATTTCTCTGTATTTTTTCGAAAATAAAAAAAAAATAAACTTCAAATCTTCATGAAAGAATCTATTAAAGTTTCGTGTAACTTTAAGATCTTTTCCTGACGGTTACAGTATATTTTTTAGTATATCATTTTTCTTATTGCTTAGCTTTCTTTGTGTACATCATTCTATGTATTTCATTTTTCAAAATATGATGCTTCTATTTTGCGATAACATATCGCTTTCTGTTTGGACAGTGATGATTCGCGTTTCA